ACAGTGGGAACTTTTCGGGGCGGAGACTTCTTCCGGCATACCTGGAGGGAACACATTCCAATCTCCTCACCCAAGCTCAACAGTGCCCTTCAGCAAAACCACTGCCCACATGGAAATCACCTCAAAAGCCACTTCTGGGCACGAGGGGACCAACTCCAGGGCTCCATCCACCCAAACGGCACCTATCCCTCAACCTGGGGGACAACAAGCGCCTCGCAGGGCCTCCCTATCCTCATCAGGACACGGACCCGCTGGGATCCCTTCACACAGCCTGCACTCTCAAAGGGCACGGCCTCACAAACAACACAATGCATCACCTGCTGCTGAGAAATAGCTTCAGCGGCTGGGACACACGCCTGCTCACTCCTACACAGTCGCATCTCCCTTGCCCCACAACACCTGCCCTTCTTCATCTGTGCTCCCACGAAAACGAATGCCGTGAACCATACCCTAGCCCCGAGTGGACCGCAGGACACCGTGGACCGCAGGACACCATTCACCGGCCCTGGGACTCACACACCACGTGTCCTTGCCACACACCACACGACCTTCGCCTTCCTCACATCACTCAACAACCAACCATCTGACCTCGCTTGGCTCCTCACAAACATCCCTGCCATCAGGCCTCGCAGCCACGCACCACACTCAGCCCACTCTCCCAACCCACACGCACCTCACCCTAGCCGACAAGCTCCGTCCCACACAACCGACGCGAGCGCTGGACCCTCTGCACACACACCTCCATGGAAACAAAGGAAGAGATAACAGCCGGCTTCCTCACCAAACACAAAACCTCAACCTTCCTCCCCATGGCTGTTAGGTCGGAGAGAGCCCAGGTTCGGATACATGCAGACATGTGATGAGACAATGGACTTCCCCTGGAATTTCTCACAGATCAACGTGCCAGACACAGATACCAGCTTCTTCTCCCTGAATCCACATACCCCCACACAGATACTGACTTCTTTCTGAATACCCCCGCCCTTCCCCTGCGGCAGAGAATTCCTTAGTTGAATGCCCTGATGATCTTTGGGCCAGTGGGTCTCACCCAAGAATGCAAATAAACTTCTCCTTTTTCTTTCTGATTCACTTGGTTCTCTTTGTTCTCTTCGCCGCTTTTCTGGGCCACCTCACAATGGCAAACCCAATAGCATCCAAACAGACACAACTTCCAGCCACACAGCACCATCGCCTGCCCTCTCAACAGCCACACCCACATGGCCATGCCTGCTGGGATCCACAAACCTCCACCCTCATCCCCTCAATAATGGCCCATCCACCACTCCATCAGGCTTTGGCCCTAGGGAACCCCAGAGCTTGCAAACAACACCTTGCAAACACATTTCTGGCCAAAATCTCCAATGGCCTCTTCTCTTTGGCTTTCGAAAGGGATGCCTTCTGCTCAACTCCACACGACAGTGCCTGCACAGCAAAACCGCAGCCCACACACGTATACGACTCACTTCCTTCACCAACAATACAAAACACTTGGCATGGAAAAAACAATAGCAAAAATGACATCTTAACACACCAGCTCTCTGTCTCGCTTACATCATCCTCAAACATGCAAAAAATTTACACTGCCTGCCATACGGACCATTCCACAATAGACTCGACTTCCAATGCAAAGGACATGGGCCACAGTTATAAATAAAACACTTTGAAAATGCCTCTCACTGTCTCATCGCTCACAGCCTGGCTACACCTTCCTTCTCACGGCCCAAGGTCACCACCTGGCCCCCTCACAAGGCCCCGCACCACACCTCTGGTCTCACCCCACTGCTTGCATGCTCCCACTTACACTAACACACGCCTCAATGCTCGCCTCACCTGGACACTCGCTGCTGCGGGGACCTTCTCAGCTCAACCACTACCTCCACTGGGCCTCGCGAGCACACTGGACAACGCCTCTCACCGACACCCTCACATCGCCTCTGCCCTCCCTCACACAACACACCAGCCACATGCACAAGGAACACTCTCGGAAAGGGGCTTGGAGGCAAACGGACCCTTAGGCAGATCTCAACAACAGCACCGAGCACGCGCGAACACACACTCACGCCACAAACACATACCTTCCGGATCACAGACCTGACCTGGGCCCAAACAAACCTCCGCCCCTTCCTGCCTGCCTTCCTTCCTTCCTTCCAATCAATGACATTAGCAACCCTTTCAAATACCCACAGCCACTGCCTCCTTCCAAATCCAATCAACTAGTCTCAACAACTTGGGGCCCCGATGCTCACCCTGCTCTCTCCAAAAAAAGCAACTTGTTTTACACGTTCGACAGCACAGGAGCACGGCTCAATGCATGACTTCAAATCCAGGCATAATACATGGGGGACGAGGCACAAACCAAAGCGGACCAAACCTCTGGCCTTGGACAAAAAATTAAGGTGCCTGCAGGGCACTGCACACTCAACCATTCACATGGTCACAAGAACAACACAGGCACTTCTGCTCTGAAACACGGGGCCAGGGATAAGCCCTCAGGGGACGGACCAACGGAACTTCAAAGGGACAAGGACATTTCACAACGACCTCACCTCATACACAAAAGGACAAAAGGCTGGCTGCATAAAAATGGGAATGGGCCTTTCTCAGGGAGCACATTGCCCAAGGACTTGATGAACCACCACAAAATCCTTTGCAATTCAACCTTTGGCTTTTCATGACATCCTCAAGGGGGACTTGAGCTCTCTACCCTTGCTCAGGCCGCAGTGCAGCACTTCCCTCACTGACTCATACAAATCTGGAAACGGGACATTCAACGCATCCAACAATCAACGCCACAAACGTCCTAACCTGCTTTCTCCTGCTTACAAGTGTTCAATGCACTTCCAGGGCATCACGGACTCCACCTCACCATTCAATCCTGGCATTCGAACCACATCTGGTGGTGGGGGAGGGGATTGGCTATGGGGGATGCCAGCATTTCCAATGGGAGCGAGCAATCATTTGCGAAACCCTAACATCCACCACCCATCCCACTACAGGTACTCACGCGAGGTGCTCAAACACCTGGCGACGCGTGGGATGACAAAGTCAACCTTGCACGGACACAAGGGCACAGCGACGGGGAGAAGGGGGACAGGCAACCTACCCTCCCGAATCACATGGCTGAGGGACCTCACCTTACAACGCTAGCCAGCCTTCCAGGAAAACACCTTCACATGCTTCACATAAAAATTCCACCATTTTCTCAACGACTCACACACCCAGCCTCTACCACCTCACACATCACACAACTGCATGGCCCAGCTACAAACCAACCCTCCACAAAACCGGCTACTCACAACAGTCGGGACTACTGCCTGCGGGGGGGGGGGGGGGGG